ACACTCTTAGAGCACATCTGCAAATCCTGGCCTTTTGAACAAATGACTGCAGTATACCAGGCCTCCGGGCTGTCAGAAGCTGGTTCCCAAATACCAACTCTGAACCTAGCCCTACCATATGGACACATGGGGTCAATGAAAAATGGTGTCTGAGGGGCCCCAACGCATGAGAAGTTCTGGCCAAAAGTGACAGGTTTTATCCAGGCTGCTGAAGAGAAATGTACTGAGACTAGAAAAGCTAAGGAGGTGCACGCCTTCGGAACGTGTCTGTGGATCAAAATACACCCTAACAGATTCTTGAGAGAGCCCCTGGCGGCTGTGTTAACCTTGGCATTGTTATCATTAAGAGGCTATGCTCATTTCTGGCACCTAATGCTGGACATATTGACAGCAACGGGGTTGATGGAAGAGGAAAGAATCTGTTTTGCAGTTAAAAAAAAAAAAAAAGAAGTTCTCAGATTTCTCAAGCCATTTGAAATCATGCCAGAGAAATACTTGATTTCAGCATTCTTCAGCGCTCTGCGATGATGCCACAAGTGGCCTCCCCCACATGTGATGATGTATTTCAGAGCCAGAGTTTTCTCAAGATGTTCCAAGCCTGCAGGCTCCTGATCCTTTTTCAAATTACCAAGATAATAGTATCCCAGTGAGAGTTGTGATTAGTCTAAACTCTCCACAGCTGTGAGAGATGAATGTACAAATTCCAATAAAGATTCTGCATGTTCTGGGCTGAATTTACCTACATGACATCGAGGCCTAATTCAGGGATCACTTAAAAGAACTGGAGCTGCTTCGGTGCTACTCCATTTCTCCCATGGCATCAGCTGCTAGGAGGCTTGCAACTGGCCCAGGAGGATGCCTCCCTCATGCCAACGTCACCGCCCAGCAGTGAGTATTTGCTTAAAAGGCCTGCAGCATGCATGCGGGGAGAGAAGCAGGGCAGGGAAAATTAAACCAAACTACAGGGGAATTCGAAGAAGCCTTGCAATTCATTATGTGAGTAGCTAGGAGGATTACTGGATACCTTGTAACTGAAGCAGCTGGCCTGAGGCTGTGTGGGACAGCCTGCCTTGCCACCTCTAACTCATTACAACGGTGCTAACAAGAAACCAGGCTCAGAGTTCTTCAGATACTTGGGAAAGCCAACAGCACTTTGATTTCCTAACTTGGACACCTTTTACCTAAAATACTTCCTTGGAATACTAAGTGAATGTAATACATGACATACCCCTTTACCATGCTTTTTGTTTTGTTTCGTTTTGAAGACAGAGTCTCATTCTGCTGCCCAGGCTAAAGTGTAGTGGCAGTATCTCAGCTCACTGCAGCCTCCACCTCCTGAACTTGAGCCATCCTCCCACCTCAGTCTACCAGGTACCTGGGACCACAGGTGCAGCACCGCCATCCCTGGCTAATTTTTGTAATTTTTTGTTGTTGTTGTTAGAGACTGGGTTTCACTATGTCACCTGGGCTGTTCTCAAACTCCTGGGTTCAAGCAATCCGCCTACCTCAGCCTCCCAAAGTGCTGGGATTACAGGCGTGAGCCACCACGCCCTGTCCCCTTTACCACGTTAACAGTTGTACCACTTGGAGGCACTTGCATATTTTTTATGAAATATCTGACATTCAGTATGCTTTCCATGACTGGAAAAGACAGGGGACAAGGATTCATGACATTGTCTACAGTGTAGACATTGTTAATGTGTGTAGACTCTACGCACATTAACAATTACAGAGAAAGAGAGAATATTGTTTGGGAAACAGAAAGTTATACCAAAGGAATATATAGCAGGGTTTTTAAAAAATGATCTAATGTGATTTGCATGAATGTGGAATCTGCTAAAGCCACATTTACCTTCATCTTATACATCTACATTCACTGTTGAATTTCATAACTGTGTAACTTTCTTTCTGACATCTGGAGATTTTAATAGTGCACAATAATTTTACAGTTTATCACACAGCCATACACATAAGCCACTGTAATGTGACATGTGGCATGTCTCCTTGTAGACTCTGAACTCGACTTTTTACGCTCAGTGGCAAACCAAGTCAGGAGACCCACCATAGAGTTGAATGAGCCATAAATGAAATTCTCAAAATACCAAACTCTGTGTGATCCATACATGGCATCTTATTACAATGGAAGTGAGCAGGAATGGAAAACCAAATACCACATGCTCTCACTTGAAAGTAGGAGTTAAACTATGGGTACACAAAGGCATATAGAGTGGCATAATGGACATTGGAGACTCAGAAGAGAGGAGGGTGGGAAGTGGGTAATAGATAAGAACACTACCTATTGGAGGCGGGGCACGGTGGCTCAAGCCTGTAATCCCATCACTTTGGGAGGCCGAGGTGGGCGGATCACCTGAGGTCGGGAATTGGAAACCACCCTGACCAACATGGAGAAACCCCATCTCTCTACTAAAAATACAAAATTAGCCGTGCATAGTGGCACGCGCCTGTAATCTCAGCTACTTGGGAGGCTGAGGCAGGAGAATCACTTGAATCCAGGAAGCGGAGGTTGCAATGAGCTGAGATCGCACCATTGCACTCCATCCTGGGCAACAAGAGTGAAACTCTGTCTCAAAAAAGACACTACCTATTGCGTATAATGTACACTACTCAGGTGACAGGTGCACTAAAATCTCAGACTTAACCAATATACAATTCATCCATGTAACCAAAAACTGCTTGTACCCCAAAAGCTACTGAAATAAAAGTAAATAAAAATAAAATAAATAGAATTTTAAAATGTAAATGGAATAAATTCTCCAATCAAAAGACCAGAAAAATGGGAGTAGGAGTGAGGGAAGGAGGGAACACGCTGATTTTTTTTCTAATATTCACAAAAACAAAACACAAAACCAGAAACATTTCCTCTTTTATCTTTTCACCGTCTCTCATTGCAAATCTTCTACACACTAGTAGATACTTTCGACACTGGTACACATCCCCTCAGATTTCATCTTCTCGAGAGCAAAATCAAATCCTTAATGTAAGCCTGTCCAACTAGATGGCAACTATGCATGACTTCCCCTGGAACCACGTTGCAAGGGCCACTTTTTCAAGCAGCTTTTCGTTATCTTTCTGCTGGAGGCTGGTTCTAGGTAAAATTGCCCAGCAAGGCAACTTGAAAAGAAACTAAAAAATTAATGAGTGGAAAATCATAGGATATGCAAGGATTCTAGACAAATAACTAGTGTCCAAGTCCCCTGCTTGCCCCAACATTGTATCCCCACCCTCTTGAGTTCTCTATTCTGACTACAAGGGTAACATATGTCAGGGGGCCTCTAGGATACTTCTTAAGCATTCTGGCAGTGGTGCTCAATATTCTTAAGTATTTTGAAGAAAAATCCTGATTTCCTCTGTGTGTGTGAACATATATATGTTTACATGCACATTTATATGTATGTATGTGCGCGCGCGCGTGTGTGTGTGTGTGTGTGTCTTATATATGCCAGGATTCTAACAGCTAAAACAAAGATTCAGAGAGAATAACTAGAATGGCCCTGCAGAAAAAGGGTGTTGCATTGCTGGGAATAGTCCACGTTGGTCTGATGGTAACGTGGGGTGTGCTACTAAATGACAAACATATCCTGGGGAGAAAAAGCCCTGCTTTGACACATTTGCAATTTCCCTCCTGTAAATAACACCCACCATGGCTCATTTCAAGCTTCCCAAGTGACATCACTGAATGGAAAGTTAAAAAGAGAAAGTCTTTCAGATGTAAACAATTTCAGTGATATTTATAAATAATAATAAAATGTAGTGGAATAACTACAATGTGGTGAATTTTGAGCATCATATTTGCTTTTAATACAATGGAATTGCAAGTTTGCATAATTTAATTTTTAATAATAGTTGCATTTAACAACTAGCTCCCAAAATCCTTGAAAATTTAACGGTGGGTAGCAGTGAGCAGGTACCATTCGCTCCAGCACACCACTACATGTTGCTCTTCAGGGATATTAAGATAGTTTGAATAAGCAAATCATCTGGATCAGACGATCTCCAGAGTTTCCAAAGATGCCAGCCTCTTTGCTATCCCGCTTTAGAAATACCCAAAACACAGGTTAAACTGTGGACAATATTTATAAGAATGCCATTAACTATACCTTAGGCTTGTATCACGCTTTACACTTTTCAAAGTACTGCTTTCACGGCATGTGGGACTGTCCGACCTTGCAGAGCGAATTTAAATCGGTGGGTAATAGCTTTTTAATGTATAATGGGTGAAAAAAAAGTCCTGGGGGCCCTTTGTCAAAGAGAAAGGCGAAGCGGTGGAACAGGCAGCCCCACAAGGAAGCCGGGAGGCTGGTCAGCCGCCCCACGGTTCCTGGTTGTGTCCGGGAAATGGCTCCAACATTGTGCAAGCAGGTGGGTGTGCAATACTTTGGGATCTCTCTCTCTCTCTCTCTCTCTCTCTCTCTCTCTCTCTCTCTCTCTCTGATTTAACTAGAATTACGTTTTTCTGTTGGGATACAAAGAGTTATATGGAATATGTCCTAAGAGTTTTACAAACAGTAAAATGACGAGCACCGTAATATTCAAATAGGCTCTTAACAAAACAACTCAGCAGTGCCTTCCTCCAGATCAAAACGTGCTATTACTGCAACAGACGCTTGTGCAGAGTCTAGATGCATTCTCACAACGAAAACTCACACCGCCAGTAGTCGTGGCCGAGTGGTTAAGGCGATGGACTAGAAATCCATTGGGGTCTCCCCGCGCAGGTTCGAATCCTGCCGACTACGGGAACGCTAGCGTTTTGCCGTAGTAAACACGTACTTTGTGTTTTAGAGTGTTCTCCTCCAACCTTCCGCAGATTTAAGGGATTTAGAAACGGATGGAACACGACAGGAACCCAAACGGGAAAGGAGAGAATGATGGGGCGCGACAGTGTGCTTGTGGTTACAATGTGGGCCCAGGAGGGGGAGACTGGACGAAACACGCCGGACAACCTGGAAGGAAGAAAAGCAAAGCATCGCGAGTCACACAGACACAGGGCAGGGAGAGCTACGGCCTCCGTCCCTGCAGGCGCCCGCCCCTCACAAACCCACCATGTTCTTTGCCGCGAACTCTGGTGAGCGCCTCGGGTCGCCACGGGACGCGGTGCGCATGCGCGGGGACGCCTATTGTGCCGGGACCTCGCGTTACCCCTGGAAACACCGGAGCTTCGGCGACTCGAGGGGACAAAGGTCAGGCGATTCAAGATGGCGGAGGACCTGGACGAGCTCCTAGATGAAGTGGAGTCCAAGTTTTGCACACCCGACCTTCTAAGACGGGGCGTGGTTGAGCAACCCAAAGGTTGCCGTGGCGGCACCCACAGCAGCGACCAGAACCAAGCCGAGGCGAAAGAGAATCTCAGGTTAACGGGGCGGGAGGGGTGGACTGTTCTAGTAAAGCCCTGCTCCAGGCCCTAAAGCCGCCCCTCAGCCGCCCAACTCAAAAGAAACCTGCCCGCGACCTCCAGCCCCTCCTTGTGTCGGGGTTCAGACCCTCAGTGTCCCACCCTCCTGGACCCTCTAAGAGGATTCTGGCCTCTCTGCCCTCGGCGCAGACTCCGCCCCGGCCAGCCCGGGAGAGCCGGCCCCGCCCCTCCCGCCGAGCCCGCGGCCCGTGTAGGTCTCGGGTTTATTTCTGCCTGCCAGAGCCTGGGAGGTTCTAGTCGGGGACCGTGATGCAGCTCAGACGCCGCCTTAGCCCCGAGAGGGCTGTGCTGACCTCGCCCAGATTTTGCCTCAGTGCGGCCGAGCAGTTCTCATCTCCCTGTGAGGTGCCCTGTTAGACAACCTCGTCCCTTTACCTCAGACCCCACTCCCCAGGCCGATCCGGGGACCAGCTGTTAAGAAAGGAGAAAACAATTCCCTTCTAGTCTGTCTTTAGCTGAGTTTTGTGTTTTGTTTTTTTGAGTTGGAGTCTCGCTCTGTCGCCCAGGCTGGAGTGCACTGGCGCGATCATAGCTCACTGCAGCCTCCAACTACCTGGTTCAAGCATTCCTCCCACCTCAGCCTCCCTAGTAGCTGGGATTACACACCCGGCTAATTTTTGTATTTTTTGTAGAGACAGAGTCTCACTGTGTTGACCAGGCTGGTTGAGAACTCCTGACCTCAAGCTGTCCTCGCACCTCTGCCTCCCTTAGTGCTAGAATTGTAGGTGTAAGGCATCACAACTGGCTCAGTTTATTTTATTTTTTAACTCAGGGAGTTCAGATGAAATTAGATTCATGACAAAAGGATTAATTATTATGAACATTAAACCAACTACCTTTCTTCTCTCCATGGCCCCCTAGTTAAGGGTCCCAGGTATACAAAGGGAAATTTAGGGGCATTTCTTATTTTGGTTTTTGATCTAAAAACTACCTTTCTACCAGTCGTTTTTCTCTACGTAATTATTAAATCATAGGACTCCCTTCACTTCCTCATTTCCCCCACAACCCCTCAAAAAAGAAAATGTTCACATCAGAGTATTGTCCTTCACAGTGATGGCATGAGAGACTGCAGTAACTCTTGCTAGAATGTTTTGGAAATTGCCTCTTGCCTAGAATATTTTGAAAACGCTTGTGAAATTACACAGAAGCAACTTTGGATCAATCTAAGAACGTCATCTTTATTAATTTTTTGACTGCATCTTTGGTTTGGTGTTGGTTTTTTAGTGGCTGTATGTGTGATTTCCCAAAGTACCAGCCAACTCCATTACTAATTCACAGGCTTACCTCCAATGACATTTATTTATAAAAATTCACTCTCCGAAGATAAAAGCATTGAAAAAATTCTAAAGGAGTACATAAAATTTCTAAAAATTAGTTGAGTTCTGAGCAGCATTTTAAAACAAAACTAAGAGACAAGTATAATTACTATGAATAGGCTAACACCCATTTGGCTGGATGTTGTAAATATCACTCTCATTAACTTTTATTGTTTTGTATACTGGAATTCCCTATGTACCTATTAGCACGTCTACCATCCCTATCCCACAGCAGTGTTACTTTGCAATTTCTTTAGTACTTGTCATTTGTCCTTCTAGGGGTTAGAGCGAATCTATCAAGGAGCTTTTCAGAGCTGTTCATCTTAGGAGAACTAGCACGCAGAGAAGCAGGCTGTATTGAAGCAAGCTGCTCAAAATGGAAGGGACTATCTATGCGGGTCTTCTCCAACCATGGGTTGTGTCATGCCTGCTCTTGCTCTACTAAAATTCATCCATAATGTTTCTAGTACCTCAGCCCACCTTGATACATTAGATTTTTTAGTACTAAATAACATAAAAGCTGTAGTGAGCCAGTACTCTTGTCATTTATAAGAAAACTTTTCATCTGGCAATGTTGTTGTAAATTATACAAAACAGCAACAAAGGGCCTAAACCTTATACCAAATATAGTCCCAACCTGGATTCTAATATAATATATTAAAATTTTTCCTTGAACCAAAATTGGTACTTAAAAGCTAGGAAGCAATTTATGTTTGAATTTATTAACAGGAGATTACTTACTAATTGTATAGCAGTATAACCTATATTTCATATAAAAGTCAAAATACTGATATTACCTCTTCAAATGATAGCTTTGCAAATAATACTGTAAATGACCATGCTACATCTGGACACCAGGAACAACTGCTAATGTAAGAGGTCAAAACATCCAATTGTTAAGTGTTCAGAATGATAAAGAGAAATATGTGATTGGTTTTTTTTTTTTTTTAAGACTGATATGGGTTGAGAAGAACTGCAATAGGAATAAAGTGGGTCAGGATGATGCAGATGGGAATATTTAAAGATAATATAGCTTTCTAGATGACAGCTATAATAATAATAGCCAACATTTATTGAATTCTTTCTGTATGCTAAGTGCTTTATATATGTCATTTCATTTAATCTTCACAACCCCATGAGATGAATACTGTTATCCCCATTTCACTGACTAAATCAATGCTTAGTTACTTGCCTAAAGTCATATTGCTAAGTCACAAGGACATAGTAGATCTAGATTTAAGTTTTCTACATATACCTCTCATACATACCTCACACTTAATTATAGGTTTAAGTGTTTCAATTTCTTTTATTTTGAATATACCTTTTATTTTCAGCAGAAACTATCTTTAAAAAATTAGAATGTCAGAAACAGAGAGGGAACCAGTAAAAGCTTAAGATTAAGATTTAATTAAGATTATTTGATTAACATTTTATTAAGATTATTATCACATCAAAAGACCAAAAAAAGTCTTATACGGTGCTTTAAAATTATGAGTTCTCAATGAAATGTTGGCTTATTACTATAGCAAAGCATAGGCAAGTGTAGGCACTGTGAAATTTCATGATCTAAGAAGAGACCAGAATATTATGTAAGCTGGCAATTTGGATCTATAACAGTACTGATTAGGTTGGTGGAGTTTCAATGCATCTGATTCTTGAAATTGTGAAACTGCATGAGGGAGGAGAACCCAGAGAGTATGTCCTGAAAGCCAAAGGAGAGAATTTTAAGGGACATCTTAGCAACCTCCTATCAAAAAAGAAATATAAGGAATTGATACCCAGCAGTGTCAGAGGCTTCTGAAAGATTAAAGAGGATTGGAACTGAGAACAGCCATTATACTGTAGTGATTTGGGCAGTGGAAACCTTTGAGAGAAGAGTTTCATTATAGTTAAGGGATTAGAGGCCAGAAATAGAATATGATACCTGAAAGCAATTTTAAATAGCCATGTAGATAATCATTTTTATAGATAAAATATTTGAGGTTCAGAGAGATTAAATAATTTAAAGTAGGTCAGTAGTAGGCCTAGACTGGTGATGATTTTGCCACCAAAAGGGCATTTGGCAACGTCTAGAGACATTTTTTATTGTCATACCTGAGGAAGGGTATCCTATTATTTAATAGCATCTGGTGGGTAGAGGCCAGAGATGCTGTAAAACATCCTGCAATATACAAGTCTCCTGCCCCCACCTACATGCCCTACAGAATTATCTGACCCAGAATGTCAATAGTTCCAAGGTTCAGAAACCCCGGTCTAGGATTAGCACCCAACTGATGCTTAAATCTAATCTACTTGTAAGGAAGTAGAAATCATGGATATAGACTATTCTTCAGTAGTGAGTAAGAAAGGGTAGAAGCTTCAAGAGGAGTTTTTTGAAACGTCTCTTTGAAGAGGAAAGCCTTGAGAATACTCCTAAGTCAAGGGAAGAAACCGGTATATAGTGAAAGACATTAAGGGTAAAAGTTACAGTACAACTGAAAAAGCTAAGCCTGGAGATAGAATCAACCATTAGGTAGTAAACAGCAGTCTCTTGCTTTTCTTAAATCAGGTTAAATTATTTTACTCCAAGATGTAACAAAGACAGGCAATGTTAAGAATTGTCAGAGTAAATACATTTCTGAAATTAGAGAGTTTGACTAAAAAAAGTTGTCTTCTAAAACAAATAATGAAGTTATGAAGTTGATGTACAGCATCTACTTCATATAAACACTAAAGAAAGTTAGTCTTATGTAGTATTAAGTGCATGGACTGCCCCAGATTCCATTTCAAGCCTTTCTTCCCACTATTTATATGACCTTGAACAGATTTCTGAATCTCTTGATGCCTTTTCTTCGTCTAAAAAAAGTGGGGTTAAATATATGCTCGTGTAAAGGCTAAGGACAATGCCTGAGATATAGTAAGTATTCAGTAAATACTATTTTAGCTATTAGCTATTTAGCATCAACTATTAAATAGAAGTTATTTGCAGTAGTGGTTTATATTAATAATTCAGTGATGGCTTTGCCTGCAGAAGGTAGAGGTAGTTGAGTAGTTGAGATGTTCTGTCTAACAAATAGCACCGTTTTTTGGGCAGGGGAGGGGTCATTTGATTACATGACCTTCGGCTCCTCTAGTAAAGAGATATGGTTGACTTACAATGGAACTTTTAGAAACAAAGAATGACTGGTTAAAATTACCATTATTTGTAGTATCTGGTTCTGCTTATCATTGTACATATTTTGTATTCTCTAAGTATGTGCTTGATATAATTTAGATAAATACATACCCAGCTTCTCTTGAATATAATGTATATAGTTTTAAATGTCTCATTTTAAGTATATAATAGTATAGAACATATGTGAATTTGTACCTGATAAAGTATATCTGTCTCAACAAACTTAGACTGTATCCACAGTGAAAAAAATTATAATCACTTTTATCTTTCTATTATCAACTCTAGTAATGGACTTAAAACTCTTCTGATACTAGCTTTATCTGCCAATAAACTTCAGGTGGGTTTTCTGTGTGTATGTTTTCAGATCAACGGAAACATTTAAAAGAGAAGATGATCTTGACAGTCTGATTAATGAAATATTTGAAGAGCCCACCTTGGACAAAAAACAGTCTGTAAGTCAAGTGTTAGAAATATGTAGTAATTATTTCATTATTTCAAGACATGTTTAGAATAACTTAAAGAAGATGAAAATAGCTTCCGATTATCTTTTGAATTCTGAGAAACAGAATTACTTAAAGAAATTAGGCTGGGCGCGGTGGCTCACACCTATAATCCCAGCACTTTGGGAGGCCGAGGCGGGTGGATCACGAGATCAAGAGATCAAGACCATCCTGGTCAACAAGGTGAAACCCCGTCTCTACTAAAAATACAAAAAAATTAGCTGAGCATGGTGGTGCACGCCTGTAGTCCCAGCTACTCGGGAGACTGAAGCAGGAGAATTGTTTGAACCCAGGAGGCAGAGGTTGTGGTGAGCCAAGATCATGCCATTGCACTCCAGTCTGGGTAACAACAGTGAAACTCCGTCTCAAAAAAAAAAAAAAAAAGAAAAAAGAAATTATTACACTTAAAGAGCTGTAGAAGTAGTAAAATATTAGACACTCTTGGTATGTGTTTTCCTGTACATTTATCAGTAAGAATAAAAAATTAGAAAAGCTGTTAGCATAGAAGTCAACTCACACATCCAGCTGGTCACTTGTATTTATTTGTATCCTCTAAGAACACTTTTCTAAAAGGCCAAAAACAGCTTTCATTATAGGAATGTGCTTAGCACCTCACATGAAATGCCATTGCTCTTATCCCATGAAGCAATAAATTGTTAATATTTAATTTTTTTAAATGTTTATGTGTCTATTTTAACCATTTAAAAAGTTCACAGAATAATGTAACAGCAACCTATGTGCTAAACATACCAAGACAGCCACCCATATTAAACACATAATATTTGCCATATTTGCTTCTCTGGACCTTTTTAAAAGAAGCACAAATTAGAGATATAGTTTTTAAGACCTCTCTAAATCCTCCTCTGCTGACTTCCTTCCCAAAGATAACCATTTAGCCTTTCCATCCACACATTTATACTTTTATTACGTTTGTATATAACCATAAACAATTTTAACAGTGTACAGTAGTCCATTGTAGAACTCTGCCGCAGTTTACTTACCTACCTCCCTGCTGATGGACATTTAGATTGTGCCCAGTTGTTTGCTATTACAAATAACTGGAGAAAAGGCACACACATTTTAACATGTACACAGGGAAAACCATTGATTACTCCTTCATTAAATATCTTTGCATGGCTTTTTTTACCCATATACGGAAGTTTCTGTGGGATGCATAAAGCTAGAACAGGAATTCCCAGGTCATGAGGTGTGCTCGTCTTCAACTTTTCTACCCATTGCCAAATTGTTTTCCAAAGTGCCTTGATCACTTACATTTTCATACTGGGCAGTATATGAGAATTTATGTATTTTAATTTTTATCAGTATGGTGTGTGTCAAGCATGTCTGTTTGATTTAAAAGAAAGATACAAAATAGAAGTCTAATTTACGCAAAAAAATTAAGAAATAAATATAGTACCGGGGGTTTTGTTTTCTTTTGTTTTTTAAAGGATAGGGAAGATAAAAGCAAAACAGTGGACTGAAAATAGCTAGGTAATGGGAGTGGTAAGAATATGGAGAGGGACCATTTGTATTTTTGTCAGCCAGACTAAAAATCAAATGACTAGTATAGATTTTAAAATTTGAATTTTTCAAAATTAAACATTTTCAATTCACCTGAAGTAAATTAATAAGCTGATGCTGAGTTAAATAATATGTCAACACAGTAGCAATATTAAATAGTCATTCCTCGGTATACTCAAGGGATTGGTTCCAGGACCCCCACATATGCCAAAATCCATACATACTCGAGTTTCACAGTCAGCCCTATATTACCACCTATGTGAAAAATTGGCCTCTATATATGGGGTTTTGCATGCCACAAATAGTGGATTTCCAATCCTTGTTTGATTGGAAAAATTCCACAAAAGTGGACTTGCGCAGTTGAAACCCATGTTTTTCAAGGGTCACCTGTACCCTGCAAACAGAATACTTCATAAGTGCCGAGTAAGTGCGTAAGCATGGAATAGTAATGCCAATTAGTACTAATAGTAGGAAAAAATTACATCATTTTCTTGCTCTTCATTAGTTATTAATATTATTCATTATTAAGTACTATAGGGTGCATATCTGTACGCTATCTCTTCAGTTAAGGTGTTTCAGAAGAAAAATACTTCTCTGGTTTGGGTTTAAGATATACTAATTTGAAATAAAAGTAGCTCTTACAATAATGAAGAAATAAATTTTTAAGCATGATCTTTTCCTTTTTTAGTTATGTATTGTGTACAATTTTTCAACCTTCAAAGGAGACAACAGGTCTAAGTAAAACATTTATTGGGGAAAAAAAACAGTTATTAAGAAGCATTGATAAATAGATGGTCTATGCTGACATTGTCATTAGTGGTTAATATTATGCCCTGAAAATACTACTCCCCCACCTCACCCCCTGCTTTCCCATTCTGTTGCATTTCTGAACTGTTCCCAGAGCCACACAAGAAAGCCCAGGAACCAACAACAAACGTCAGAGTGTGTCAGCTTAGAGTCATAAACCTGAGTTTGGATGGTGCATGAAACATGCTTCGCAAACAGAAAGACTTGTGCAAATTACTATTTTTCAGACGTACCAAAATTTTTTCCAGTTCTGCTTAACATCAAATAAGAGTTGAGAGAAATAGTAAAACAATATTTTTACCTCTATTAAATTTCCTCACTCACTATGTAAAATGAAGGCAGGTCTCTGCATAGTTTAAATTGCCTTTTCTCCATCTCACTTCCTCTCCTTGGCGGTGGTCCTAGTGTGTGGTTGGTTTATGTTGTTTGGTACCATATACCAGTTAACACTTAATAAATGCTTGCTAATGATGATGATATTATGTAACCATATAGGAACTACTGTATGGTTGTGACTAGGTAGCTCTACATTTTCCTTGAACATTTATTGGTTGATACCATTCTATTTGATCAAAATTAATATTCCTGAAGTTACACAGGAGCTTGGTTAGTTTAATTTTAGTTCACATGACGCACATTCACAGCCTTTAAAAATGAGTCTGAGGTTTTTTTCTTCCTCAATTGAATTTTTCTAGAATGAAGTTTTAAATAGCAGGTCCTTCATATTAAATCATTGAGCTGTAATATTAACTGAAGAGTTATAAAGTGACTCTAAATCTTAGCATGCTAATAATGGCAATATATCAGTTTCCTAGCCTAGAAGTTAGTAGAGTAATTTGCAAATTCCTTAGGGAGTTCTACTTCCCTTTTGCCTTTAAAAGGTTTAATCATTGTTTTTATTTCAGAAACTTAAAAATGATGCCATCAAAATTTGTATTTAAGTCAGTTAGAAAATAGTCTTGTTATAAAGAATATTAGTTTTCATGTTACAGTTTTCTAAGTTACTTGTGGCCTTTTATTGTTTTGCTTTTTTAACAGAAATTAAAATCTAAATCTTCCTGTAACACATCTGTCAGAGCTTCCATTCAAGGCCGTGGTAAAAGGTAAGTTGAGATTTCTTTGGTGAATTCTACATACTACTGAGCAAACACTGTGAGCATAGTCTAGTAGATTTTGTTACCACTTAAGCAGCAGTGAGATTGAACAACAAAGCATTGGTTGGCCTTCAGGAGAAAGACCAATAGCAATATCTTCAGTGTTCTTATGGTCTGTGATCTCGTATAAAGGAAATTAAATGGGGAATTATTGCTATTGTAAATAATTTTCTGCCGCTTAAAAAAAAGCGTGAACAGTTTCTCAAAATTAATGGTCTGTTATATTCTTCAGTATTTGCTTCGTCCCTTACCTTATTTGGCAAACACATTTTTCCTTTACTCATTTTAACTCCTTGAGTGTTCCTGAATGTACAGGTTATATCCAATAAAGCAGTGATCCTACAATAAATATGTCTTCTTTGAAATGATTGGTTTGCTAGGGAAAATATACAGTTTGATTACAAGAACATAAAGTCAGTAAAACCAAGAAATTTTTAACAGGGCCAAATTCTCCTACTTTTTGTTATAACTTCATATTTTTGCATCTGTTAAACACGTCTAGTTGCAGTCCGGTGTACCTTGGTGGAAGCTCTATTCCATGTGGGATTGGAACAAGTATTTCATGGAGGTAGGTTGTCAGAAATGTATTATACTTTTTACTGGGTTTTTTCCAAATGGATGCCCAGTTGTTAAAATGTCATTCTTATCATCTTGGCATCAGTTTTATAAGGAGAGGTATTTTTATTAGCCAGTCTAAGAATTATTTGTTCATTATTCTTGGATGATAGCTATTGAAAGCTGTGATGTTGGGTATATATTATTCATTGTATTGATGCTCTCTTTCTAAGCCCCACTTGAAATGCCTGGATCACTCCAATCCCAGCGTTGTTTCCACAGGACACAGGAGAGTGAACTTCCTTCCAGGCAGTGGAAGCCAGTCAGTAAGGCAGTTGAAGCAAAGTGGGCAAGCAGATACATGATGCCTTACCCACACTGCCTTGGCCAGTTAGCATGCAGAGCTACAGGTCTGCATTACCCAAAGCATTCTCAAGCATAGTCACTTGATTTTACATGTTTACATATGTCAAAAGCAGAAATCCTATGTTCTTTGTCTCTTCCTTGCCCTTCCTACACCCACTTTCTCACTCAGTACCTCTTTCTGGGCAGTCTTATAGTCATGATGCCACCTCCCCCAAACCCGTAATAGCCCCATAATCTTAGCACGTTCTATTCGCATTTTCATAGTATAGGCAAACAGTTTGGTTTTAAGCAAATCCCACTCTTCTGCTGCTTTTAGTTCTATTTTTGGCAGAGGCCTACTTACCTAGCTTACTTTATTGAATATTTTTATCTAGTTATTTCTAAAACACTTATTTTTTGTTAATTTTTTAGGAAAAAAAGGCATAAGTTATATTATTGCATGTTGATCACATTTCTGGAGGGATAACTGTTATATAGTCAAGTGTCACCAACAAGGATACATTCTGAGAAATATGTCATTAGGTGACCTCCTCATGTACAAACATCGTAGAGCATACTTACACAAACCTAGATGATACAGCCTACTACACACCTAGGCTAGATGATACACTAGCCTACTACACACTACTAGGCTATAAACCTATACAGCATATCACTGCACTGAATACTATAGGCAATGGTAACACAATGGCAAATATTTGTGTATCTCAATATTAAAAAGGTGCAGCAAAAATACAGTATAAAAGGTTTTTTGTGGGTTTTCTTTTGAGATGGAGTCTCACTCTGTCACCCAAGCTGGAGTGTAGTGGAGTGATCTCGGCTCACTGCAACCTCCACCTCCCAGGTTCAAGTGATTCCCCTGCCTCAAGCTTCTGAGTAGCTGGGATTACAGGCATGTGCCACCATGCCTGACTAATTTTTGTATTTTTAGTAGAAACAGAATTTCACCATGTTGGCCAGGCTGGTCTCTAACTGCTGACCTCGTGATTCGCCCGCCCGGGCCTCCCAAAGTGCTGGGATTACAGGTGTGAGCCACCGTGCTGGCATTCAGATTTTTTAAATGGTACAGCTGTATAGAGCACTTAGCATCAACGGAGCTTGCAGGCCTGGGAGTTGCTCTGGGTGAGTAAGTAGTGAGTGACTGGGAAGACCTAGGACATGACTGTGCACTAGCATAGACTTTATAAACACTGTAACGTAGGCTACACTAAGTTTAATTTAGAAACCCTTTAATAGTATTAACCTTAGCTTGATGAAACATTTTTCATTTATAAACATTTTTATTTTTTAACTTTTGATTATTTTATAGTAACAATTTAAAATGCAGATTGTACAGCTATACTAAAATATTTTCTCTCTTTGCATCCTTATTCTATAAGCTTTTTTCTATTTTTTCATTGTTTTTTACTTTTTAAACTTTTTTTGTTAAAAACGAAGACAACACACACATTAGCCTAGGCCTATACAGGGTCTGGATCATCCATATAATGGTCCTGCACCTTCACATCTTGCCCCACTGGAAGGTATTCATTGGGGCGGGGTGGGGGGGGTGTCATGACAACAGTGCCTTCTTCTGAAATACCTCCCAAAGGACCTGCCTGAGGCTGTTTTACAGTTAATTTTTTTTATTAAGTAGAAGGAGTACATTCTCAAATAATGATACAAACTATAGTTTAGTAAAAACTGAACTAGTAACATAGTTTATTATCATTATCAAGTATTAAGTACTATACATAATTGTATGTGCTATTTTTATACAACTGGCAGCTCAGTAGGTTTGTTTACATCAGCATCACCACAAACACATGAGTAAGCACTGTGCTATATAGGACAGCTATGATGTCACTAGGAATAAGAATTTTTCAGTTCCATTATAATCCTATAGGACCGCTGTGGTATGTGGTCCATTGTTTACCAAAACATCGCTGTGGCACATTAACTGTATTCAATAATAGAAGTGTGGCCGGGCGCGGTGGCTCAAGCCTGTAATCCCAGCACTTTGGGAGGCCGAGGCGGGTGGATCACGAGGTCAAGAGATCGAGACCATCCTGGTCAACATGGTGAAACCCCGTCTCTACTAAAAATACTAAAAATTAGCTGGGCATGGTGGCGTGTGCCTGTAATCCCAGCCACTCAGGAGGCTGAGGCAGGAGAATTGCCTGAACCCAGGAGGCGGAGGTTGCGGTGAGCCGAGATCGCGCCATTGCACTCCAGCCTGGGTAACGAGAGCGAAACTCCGCCTCAAAAAAAAAAAAAAAAAAAAAGGCAAAACATTGGCCAGTGAGGAACAAAGAAGCAGATGATTACTCCTATGGCCTCACTTTGCCACTAATAAGCTCTGAAGCCTTAAGAAGGGATGCTATCTTCTAAAACCTGTTTCCTCACTCTTAAAAACTAAACATGGCCGGGCGCAGTGGCTCAAGCCTGTAATCCCAGCACTTTGGGAGGCTGAGGCAGGTGGATCACGAGGTCAAGAGATAGAGACCATCCTGGTCAACATGGTGAAACCCCGTCTCTACTAAAAATAATGAAAAATTAGCTGGGCATGGTGGCGCCTCCCATCTACTCAGGAGGCTGAGGCAGGAGAATTGCCTGAACCCAGGAGGCGGAGGTTGCGGTGAGCCGAGATCACGCCATTGCACTCCAGCCTGGGTAACAAGAGCGAAACTCTGTCTCAAAAAAAAAAAAAAAAAAAAAACATATTTCGTGGAGATACTCTGAGGATTAAATGAAATAATGCTTGAAAACTGTGCCTGTAGTGCAAAAGACAGGCACAGTACTGCAGGCACACTGGGTTCTAATTATGGTATCTTTCTCATCCATTATTTCTGCTTTCTCATTATGTTATAGCTCAGGGACAAGAATCTTATATTCTACTATTTTCCATTTTATCTCAGGAAATACATATACTTATAGGTGCCTTTCGTTTTTAAAAATGATCTTTAAAAAACACATTCTGGTTTACTCCTAAAAAGTAAATATTTCATTAAGATTTTCTTATATATGAAATATTTTGTGTGTACTTTGACTTAGTTCTAGCACAGATGAAATCTTTGCTAGATGGAATTTCAGTAAACCAAAGAACAGCCGCTTTCATAGCTCAAGGCTCCTATCGCATACCGTTAGTCCAGTGGGATGCCAAAATCAATTATACCCCATTTCTACCTCCTGCACAGCTGTGAGAAGAGATACCAGTTGCATATATATGCACAGGTAAATGTTTATATTCACAGATCTTTTATTAGATGCTCCTTTCATGACACAGAATTTGCGCCCATAGAAAGATAAATGCGTGTTCATCTGCATTTGTAACATTTTATATGTGAAGTTTATACCGTCCAGAGCACTTTTTATATATGCATATTCATTTACCTGCTCCACAGAGGAAAAAAACCAAGATTCTGATCAAGAATTTTTACCTCCATTTTAAAAATGAAGAGATTGAGGTACTTGTGTTAAATTCGTCAAACACAAATTAACCACCTGGTGGGTCCTAGGGATTAAATGAACAAATAAATGGATACTTTCTGTCCTCAGTGAGCTTTCAGTCTAGGTGAGGAGATAGGCTTTGAATACATGATTCCACAAATAAGTATTTAATTTCCATTGGATATGTGGCATGAAGGAAAAGTACGGGATACTATAAGCATAGATGATGGACACACTAACTAATATGAAGGGTCAGGGAATACTTCTCTGAGCAGATAACCAAACCACAATCTGAAAAATGAGTAAGAATTAGGCAAAGAGAGGTGACCATTGGAGCCAGAGAGCACACATGTTTAGAAGATCCCTGGGAAGGGGTGGAGCTGGTGGTGTTCCTCCGGAGGAAGGAACAGAGAGCATCTGGCCATGCTGGAGCATAATGACTAGGGAAAGAATGGCTGCTGATGGGGCTGGAGAGAGAGTAGAGGGACGTTCAGCTTCAGGTCCTCTAATCCTCTGGAGGATTTTGGAAAAGGTATGTCCTGTGTGCAGTGGGTCAGATTTGTGTTTCTTAAGTCATGTTGGCTGCTCTGCAGAAAATGGCTTGGTAGTTGGAGGGGCAAAACAGGAAAGGACACAGGAAGGCTAGTCAACAGGCAGTCATTAGAGTGGTCCAAGAAAGAGACGGTGGGAGCTGTGACCTCAGTGGTAGCAATGGCTATAGGGAAAAAGTCAAATTTGAAATATTTAGAATATAGAATTGACAGAATCCAGTGATTAAGTAACTAAGGGAGGTAAGAGAGAAAGTTAAGAATAACTCTAGAAAAAAAGAGAAAAAAAAAGGAGAAAAAAAATTAACTCCCAAATAATGTGTCATATCAAATATTACAAAGCAAGGATTCAAATTGGTGACTTGATTCCTAATCCATTATGCTTTCTATGACACCACTTGGCAGAAAGCCATGTAATATATGTAAGTGGGAAGAATCTTAGCTGATGTTGCTGTTGGAACTGCTGTTACTTTCAAACTGTTTAAACACCAAGATTCTGTGGTCCCATTGTGCAGATCTGATAGGATTTAACAGAGAACCACAGTATCTGGGCAGAAGATTATATTGGGTTGGTTTTGGGGCATTCTTATCATAAACATCTGTAAAACGGCGAATTCTACTTATTAGCTGGACAAAAGAACAAAGCTATTGGTGACGTCTTATATGTGATTTCCTCTACATTTTAGAAGGAAAGACCTGATCGTTTGTCTTTCACTGGAGTCATGACTTTATATTAGATATGCTTTTATGTTCATAGCTATGAAACAGAAATATATTTCAGTCATGAAAAGAAGTACTGATTTACATGACCAGAGCATAAAGGAAATCAAATCTATCCTGCCTGTTTGTGTTGTTTGTTTGATTTCTAGATACAGCTCTGGTTTGACGTAGTGCTGAATGACTTTAGATGTTAGAAAACGATTTGCCTTTTACTGGTTGGTGGAAAGGGGAGAGAATAGTAGTAGGAAGGACGGTGGCAGCAACAAGTAGTACAGATAAAATGAAGGCATTTTCAAGCCAATCAAATTTTACTCTCCTAATTATTTTTTAAACTACTGCAAGACTGGATTATTCCATAGACTGGTACTAATTATGATCTAATAGAGGAAATTGTAGCAGTGGAATGATTTCTTAGCTGCAAGTTAGTTTTATGTTTCTCAAAGGACAGTGTTTGTAGGAAAATGTGGTAGTGTGAATAGATTTGAATAAACTACTAAATTTTAAATTAAATTAAAAAGCTGTATTTAACATTATGGTTGAGATTTTACACATACAAAATGTCAGGAAATTCTAAATTATAATTCCCACAACAGCAATAATTCAGCCAAATTGCACATATGTATTAAGGCATTAAAGTTAACACTCTGTGCAATCGTGTAATAAACTACGTATGCATAAGAAAGCAGGTCATAGTAGCTTTGGAAACTATCACTTTGCATTTCCTGACTTGTACATTCGAAATCTGAGTTCAAATGTGTACAAATGTAGTTGTAGAATTTCCAAATGTAGAAATGCAACTTCATAAATTGCTAACACTTTGAAAGAAAATATGGACTTGCCTATGAAACTTGTATAGGTTTTAAATGTTTCATTATTATTGTGGTTCATATTTTTAGACATATAAAGCATTTATTCTCAAACTTTCAGGCCAGAAGTATTTGCAATTTTGAAATTAGCATATCTGAACTTTGAAAGGAAATAAACGAAAAAAATATAATGTTTTCATTACAGAAGTATTATATGGTTATTGAAAGAAGAAAAACAAAATTGAAGCACATATAAAGAAGAAGATAATAATCTCCCTTCCTTCCCTTTATTCAATTACTCCTGATGCAACCAGTGTTACTAGGTAGTATATAACTTTCTACATTTTGCTCCTTGTAAACTTAGAGCCATCTATATAGGAATTTTTGTGGGGGATTGTTTTTACAAAAACAGGATCATGCTGTATATGTTAGTGTACACCTTTCTTCAGATGTCCCTCCAGGTTAGTAAATAAATCTAACCAATGCTCTTTATCAACTGCCTGATATTCCATAGTATAAATACACTGCATGTTACTCAGGTTTTTTCCCATTTTGATAGATAATCAGGTAGTATCCTGTTTTTTGTCACTTTGACAATACTAAAGTAAAAATTCTTGAGATATATGTTTATATACTGGTGCTTTTATTTGTACATATCCCAAAATGGATTGCTAGTATAATGGCTAGGTATAAATTTTAATTTAAAAGTAATACCTGGGAGGCCAAGGCAGGCGGATCACGAGGTCAAGAGCTGGAGACCACTCTGGCCAACATGGTCAAACCCTGTCCTACTAAAAATACAAAATAAAAATACAGCTGGGCATGATGGTGCATGCCTGTAGTCCCAGCTACTCAGGACGCTGAGGCAGGAGAATCGCTTGAATCTGGGAGGTAGAGGTTGCAGTAAGCCAAGATAGCGCCATTGCACTCCAGCCTGGCAACAGAGCGAGATTCCATCTCAAAAAAGAAATTATAATAATAATACCAAGAATTTCCCCAAAAGGCTATAGCAGCTCACATACCCACTAAAAACATATGAAAGTGCTAATTTTTCCCAAATTAATTGATGAAAAAATATATCTCATGGTTGTAATTCTATGAAGTGTGTTTGAGTACTTTTATTATCCCCATTTTACAGATATGGAAACTGAGTCATGTGAAAGTTATTTTTAACAGTTACACAGATAGTAAATAGTGGAATCAGCATTTGAACCTAGGCAATCTGTGTCCAGAGTCCATGTCCTTAACTACTATTCTTTGCTGCCTGTGCTACAGACAGTGATTATTGTTCTTTTTTTTTTTTTTTTGTCATTAGTAAGCATTTTGTGTGTAGTGTAACTATTTAACCGCGTGTTGAAAATGAAATGTTTTCTTCCACTCTGTTACTAGTCTCTTTGCCTTTTTTGTCTTTTGGCATCTGAAAAACATGTCCTTTTAATTTTTTGATGATCAAATGCATCTGTGTTGATTCTCGTTTTTGAACACTCCAAACAATGGAGGGTTTCCTTAAAGTACATCAGAATTATTATAGCATTCAAATGGTTTGCAGCAGCAATTCATAATTCTTTTTTACCTTGCTCTGTAATATTTTACTCTTATAGTTGCTATGTTGTATATATATAATTGCATTTTGAGGGTTGCCTGTAATTGTAATTCCTCAGATACTCATTAAATACCTATTGTATGCTAAGTGTCATTCTAGCAGTTCTGCCCACTCTCTCCAACATTATCGGAGTTTTGCTCTTCACTGCATCTTGAACATCAACACGCAGCATGCTCTTTTTCCTCCTCTCTTAAACATAATCTCTTAAACCCACTTCCTTTACCAGTTACCACTCCATTTAAAAAAACTATTCAGATATACCTTCTACGTGAGGCCCGTGCAGACCACCTTATTTGAAATTGGAACCCATCCCCTCCTCATACTCCCAGTTTTCTTTACCCTACTCTACTTATTTCATTCAAAGCACTTGTAACCTCTAACATACTTTATAATTTAGTGAATATTGTTTGTTTCTTCTCTCACTGCAGATGAAGCCCCATGAAGACAGAATCTCACTAACACATACTTGACTCTCAATAAGTATTTTTTAAGTGAGTGAATGAATACATTATGCCAAGTTGTGAGAAAGTAGAAACAAATACGATCTTTTCCCAGCACTTTAGCAGCTTATGGGAAAAGCAGATTCATTTCAATGTAATGTGACATATTCTTTGGTGGCGATATTCCTGAAAATTCCAGTAGGAAGGGAAGCATTTAAAGAAGTTAGCTTAAATATACTTACAGCATATCTAATATCTTTAAAGTGTTACAAGTTAAAAGTTCTCCCTCAGACATAATTTGAAAACACCACGGAATTAAAAGATCTACAAATCTATTTTCTCCTATATCTATATATGTGAATATTCATTGTACAAGATTGTAGTAAAATAGGTAGGTTTGTGCAAAAATTTAACCTTAAGGTTTAGACTATAAATAATGCTTTAGTATAAACATTTATAATCAAATTAATCTGTACTTTTCTATTGTTTATTCAGTAATCTAATATATGGTGTGTCCTATAAATAAATCACCATGTTTTCACATTTAAAGATTCCAGTAATCTTTAATATACCATTCTTTTTTCTCTGAACAGAGCATGTGACCATCTGCGTTGTATAGCCTGTGATTTCTTGGTAGTAAGCTATGATGACTATATGTGGGACAAATCATGTGATTATCTGTTTTTCAGGTATGTTGCTAAAGAACTTCACTCTGAAAAATGTACCAAGTACTTCATATTTCTTATTTTGACGTATTCTCTCAGTGGATTTGGCCAGATCATATGGGTTTCACCTCTTCACTACAGTCATGTGCTACATTACGATGTTTCAGTCAACAATGGACTGCATATACATGGTGGATCCATAAGATTATAATGGAGCTGAAAAATTCCTATCACCTAGTGACACCATAGCCACTGTAATATTGTACTGCAATGCATTGCTCGTGTTTGTGGTGATGCTGGTGTAAACAGTAACATGCTGTAGAAGCTTGTAGCCTTGGAACGGTAGCCTATACCATATAGCCTTGGTGTGTAGTAGGCTATACCATGTAGGTTTGTATAAGTTCACTCTATGATGTTCACACAATGAGGGAATTGCCTAACAAAGCATAAGCAATGCATGACTGTGTTTCTATCATCCGTCTCCTCTCCATCTGTCTGCTGTCAGCCTAGATAAGGACATGTTACTTCTGGACAAGAATACAGAAGTAGCCTTTTCACTGGTTTTTCTGCCTACAGTCTCTTCTTTCAGACCATCCTTCCCTTGTTCAGAATTAAAGCATAGCTCAGAGTGTACTGTCCTGCCCAACACTCTTCCACTTACAGAATAGTGTCCAAATTCCATAGCATGGCATTCATGACCCTCTGCAATGCAGCCCCCATCCATCCATCATCCAACTTGGTCTTCCCACAATGTATATTTCACCTTTACAAGATTTTAGCTACATCAGAGTACTCCGCTCCCATTCCCTCTGACTTTGTACAACCTCTTTACCTCCTAGGATGCCTTCCTATCATTTTATCTACCTAAACCCTACCTGTCCTTCAGAGTGCAGTACGTCACGGGTCTTCCACGATTCTTTCACCACTCTCTTGACTGAAAGAAAACTCTTCCTTTCCTGTGCATTCGTGGTGCTTTGGACATATTACATACTGTAATATAAAACTGAAGCGCTTAGGGTGGTGTATTACTACCTTTCTTGTGGCTGAGATAATGTCTTACTCATATTTATATAATTTGTACATTCTTGTACACTTACGGCATACCTAATATCTGTAAGGTGTTACAGATTTTAAAAATATATTTGAACTTTTCATTGACATTTTCAAATAGAAATTTAAAGCTAAAAATTAATACAGTATATTATTGCAGCACTTTTTAGTAGCATAAAGAAAAGGGTAAGAGACTTTCCCCTACACCTCCTTTGGCAAACATTCTTGGGTAAATCTATGAATATACCCTAATTTAATTGTTTTTAAACTTTTTCACATCAAGAACCACTTTAAAAATCTATGAAGCATTGAATCCTCTTCATACACATACACACAATTCAAATATAAAAATACATGGAAAAATTATAACTTGAAAAGTTTCACAGTTTCCAACCCAAATAAAGCCTAATGTATTCCCAAAATCCGAGGTCAGGAACTCATACTTTTAGGCTTAGCCCACTTTTTATTAGTGAAAAAGTTAGCTTTTAACTGCAGGTTCACTTTTCCTTCTCTGACTTTTCTAAACCCTCTGCTATTTACTATCTACTAGTTAATCTAATAAGTGGTTAATAATCCCCATATGTCACCAAGATGAAGCATGAATTTTTATAAAACCATCATAGAATAATAAACGCATGTAACATCAAGACGGTGATGAACACAGGCATCAACTGTGGATAACTTAGTCGGCACTGCTTGCCGTATCTCAGAGTCATCAAGAACAGCAGTTGGTTTACCCGAGATCTGTGGCAGCCTAGTTTAAAAATATGTGTGCTTTTAGATAAAACAGTGACAACCAGAGGATTTATTATACTATTAAAAATAAACAAGTAGTCATTATTTAAATCAGTCGAAAATACTGTCTCAGTTCTCAAGACACTTAGGAATATGTTTGGGAGATAAGAAAATGGAACAACTAAAGAAATAAGGCAGTCTCCACCATCAGGATACAAATCACTGATATGATAGTTGTTTTGTACAGTATACTGGTGTTTCTTTATCCAGTAGGCATTATTCAGCATCTAGTCTATGACACTCTTAGATACTGGGCTCATAAGATGAGAGGAACCCAGGGGAAGGAGACATGGGAGGGGACAAGCATGCGAGTAGGAAGGTTGTACAGACAGTAGGGCCAAGAGCGCTGATGGGAGGTGAGCCTTGGATGGGAAAAGGAAGACCTCTGTGACTGAGGAACCAGCAAGGTACTGATGTGTTCAGGGAGAGCTTGCCAGGAAATTGAAGGGTTTCAGACCTGGTGGCCTGGTTTTGAGAATGAAGATGTGATCTGCTGAAAATAAGGGAGAGGAGTGGGAGTCGAAGAGGATATGGAATAGTCACTGAGGAAACCAGAAGTAGGCAGTGACCAAAGACAAGTTAAAAGGTTTGTAGAGTACCCTTCAATGTCCAGCAGAACACAGGGAGCCATTTATTTTTAGCAGTGTCGATCTGCACACTTGTTACACAGTGAAATGCTGTGCAGTTATTTTATTGTTTTATTTTACAGATGAGAGAAATAAATGTATCCTAGCTTTGAGAAGTTTTAGAACTTTTTTTTTTTTTTTTTTTTTTTTGAGCTAGAGTCTCACAAGTTGTGTTGCCTAGGCTGGAGTGCAGTGGCGCAATTTCAGTTCACTGCAACCTCTACTTCCCAGGTTCAAAGAATCCTCCAGCCTTAGCCTCCTGAGTAGCCAGGAATTCAGGTGCACGCTACCACATCCAGCTAATTTTGTAGAGATGGGGGTCTCACCATGTTGCCCAGGCTGGTCTCAAACTCCTGAGCTCAAGTAGTCCACCCATGTCGGCCCCCCAAATACAGGGTTTACAGGCATGACCCACCACACACGGCTGAGTTTTAGAACATTCTAAAAGGAGTGTAAACTATAATTATTGACCACCTTGCTACAACAGCTGAAGAAAATGCTTTTATTTTTATCTTAAATCATGTGTTTTCTTTAAGGAATGGAATGATTTTTCCCTAAGCTTTTAAGATATGTGCATTTTTAAAAAGCATTTGAAATGTCGTAATTAGATCCCTGCCTATTTATGATTCCTAATCTAAAATCTCGAAGGATTCAGTCAAGTATCAAATGTTAAGTTTTCAAAATATTTTGCAGATCAAATAAAGGACGTTTTTCCTCAACAGCTTAGTTTTGGTGGGGTTTTTTCTTTTTGTTAAAATTTATATTATTCATTTCTTCCCACAGCTAAGTCATTTAGCTGGTCAGACCGTTTCCTGAAATCAGACGTTGGCTTGGAAAATCTCAGGTTTTGTTAGGTTCTAACCTTCTAAATTGTGCCTGAATTTTGTACAATGTGATTAGTACTGAATGTGTGGCCATTGACCACCAGAGGGCACTGTGTAGCCTGCCTTCTGTTGCAGTAATACCCACAAATAATGTTTAGATGCTGTATCTTTTTCTAGCATTCATGCTATATTTCATCCTTTCACTCTGTATTTTTTCATCATTTTATTTTTAACTTTTTTCCATTTTTCTTTGCCACACAATGTTTATATTAACTCATTACATGGAATGTCACGAAAATTATTAATTAAACGTCTGTAGTCTTTTTTATGATAGTATCAAATCCAATGGTTATCATTTTTACAATAGCCCTACTTGTTGATTTAATTATTTCAACATCATTAATATGTATTTCAGGATAGACATTTTTGTTACTGATAGTATGAGTAAATAAGCAGATTATTGAAACTGATGAAAATTTTCCATAGTTAATTCATCAGAAGTTTATGATCTTTATGCCTCTAATGTTCTCTTTACTTGCCATATTGAAGGGTTTTAAAATATGGCATAGTTGAGTATCTGAGATAGGAGATGAGCCACCATCCTTTCCACCCAATTTTCATATTATTTCATCTCTGATAGGACAAATCAGTAAATCTCCAGCCCTTTGGGTTACTGTATTCTACAACCATCAATAAATTGTCTTAGAGAATTGCCATGAAAAGTACAGATTATCAAAGAAATACCATCAGAAAGAGAACGCTGAAGCATGTCTTCTAATGTTAGTGTGAGGGATCTAGGTTGTCCAGTGCTCATGTACTAGGAAGGTAAGAAAATAGGCTGGGCACCGTGATTCACACCTGTAATCTCAGCACTTTATGAGGCTGAGCTGGGTGGATCACTTGAGTCCAGGAGTTTCAGATCAGTCTGGACAACATACTGAGACCTCATCTCTACACACACAAAAAAAAAAACTTTTAAGCCGGGCACAGTTGGCAATAATTCCAACAAAGTTATAATCTTAGTCTTATGCCTGTCGTCCCAGCTACTTGGAAGGCTGAGATGGAAGCCTGAGAAGTCAAGGCTGTAGTGAACCATGATCATGCCACTGCACTCCAGCCTGGGTAACAGTGAGACTCTTTCTCAAAAAAAATAATGACTTTTTTTTTTTTTTGAGTCATTAAACACTGTACAGAGCCACTATGCTAAAACTTTCCTGTTTTACTAATAGGAACAACATACCAGAATTCCACAAATTAAAAGCAAAGTTGATAAAGAAGAAAGGAACACGAGCATATGCCTGCCAGTGTAGCTGGAGAACTATTGAAGAACTGACCGACCTTCAGACAGATCATCAGCTTCGTTGGGTTTGTGGTAAACATTAAGAATGTAGACTGCACATTCGGACAGATGCATCCATGAGAGCAGTATCCGTTAATCATCATAATGTTTAGGCAATGGTCCCTAGCAATACATTCCCTGTGGGAAAAGGCAGTGAATTTTACTGATACAACTACACACAGTTTTTAAGACCAAATGGACTAAGGAAGATTATTATAACACTTTGGAATTTTTTTTCATATATATATATATATATGTATATATATATATATATATGGGTGTTTCACTTAGTAAGTAACAGGCATCTATTCTTTACTAATCTGTCTTCTGTTAAATAGAAGTTTAATTATGGAGTTTCATACAAATATCTAGTTTTTCATTAGTAACTTCTACATTGATTGCTAATACACTTAGCAAAACATTCCCCACTTGTAGCAGTTAAAACAGATAAAGCCGGCCAGGGCAGAGAGGTCATTTAGGGGTGTCTACAACACTTCCTCCAGACAGATCTGTTGTTGGCAAAGATCATAATTTAGACGTGGAAGAAACCAGGTGATCAGTGGCTAACTAAAGGGTATTCAGGAGTTACAGGTATTTTGCAAAAACATTGCCTCATAGTTGATCTTACCTCACAAACTCAAGGCAATGTTGTGTACAAAATTAAATATATGTTACTAGTTCTAGCTTATTGTCCCTCTTTTGTTTATTAGATATTGAAAGTTATTTTCTCTTTTCAATACTCAATAATATATAAAAAGTTTGATGCGTCTGAAAATCACAAAAACTCTAAAGCATACAGGTTATTGTTGGATTTTTCAACTATTTTCTATCCTTTAATACCTAAAACTCCATCAAGTGAAGAAAACAGCAAGTAAGATAATTTTTCAGGCAGACTGTGGACTTTTCTTGTAGGATCAGGTTGATATATCATTTATTAGGTGAGTACATGAAGAGACAAAGCATATCTGAACCAGCAGGTAACCTGTTGGGCTCCCTCCTGACATCACTGAGATCTAAGGAACCCTACAATAGCAGCACATTCAGGAAATCAGATCCCTCAAAATTTCTAGCTCCCAACCCCATTGAGAGATTCTGGGAGCTTTCCAATCTGCCACAGACTCTCTGCTACATGTGTCTACTATATAGTTCAAATGTGTGACACAGGGCATACTGAAAGGGAATAATTCCAACAAAGTTGTACCCTTAGTCTTATGCTGAATTTGTTCCAGCCACCCTACTGAAGGGAGGAAGATTTGATCATTAGAATCCTTTTCCTAGCCATGACACATTTACATACTTGTGAAATTTACTGTAGTAGGTCTAGCATTACAACAGAATAGATCTTATAATGGCCAATGCTCATACTTTTGTATTAAGGATATTATGACAGATCGGGCGTGGTGGCTCACACCTGTAATCCCAACACTTTAGGGAGGCTGAGGCGAGCAGATCAGCTGAGGTCAAGAGTTCCAGACCAGTCTGCTCAACATGGTGAAACGCCATCTCTACTAAAAATACAAAAATTAGCTGGGTGTGGTGCTGCATGCCTGTAATCTTAGCTACTCAGGAAGCTGAGGCAGAAGAATTGCTTGAACCTGGGAGGCGGAGGTTGCAGTGAGCCAAGGTGGCACCACTGCACTCCAGCCTGGATGACAGAGTGAGACCCTGTCTCAAAAAATATATTATGACAGAGTTTAGCTTTCAATAAAAATACATCCGTAAAGTTATATCTACATGTAATTGAGTCAGAAATATAGGGGGATGTTGATTGAAGTCAACTGTTACAAAATATAGCAGAGCAACAAGATCAACACATTCAGAAGCTTATAGCATTTGGCACATTATTCATTATGGTGCAATTCTTTTTTATTCCAGTAAGCAAATTTAGTAAATCTCTAATTTGAATTTTTTTTTTTTTTTTTTTTTTTTTGAGATGGAGTGTTACTCTGTTGCCAGGCTGGAGTGCTACTCTGTTGCCAGGCTGAAGTGCAGTGGCGCCATCTTGGCTCACTGCAACCTCCGCCTCCCAGGTTCAAGCAGCTCTCCTGCCTCAGCCTCTGGAGTAGCTGAGATTACAGGCGCCCGCCACCATACCCAGCTGATTTTTGTATTTTTGGTAGAGATGGGGTTTCACCATGTTGGCCAGGATGGCCTCGATCTCCGCCCACTTCAGCCTCCAAAGTAACCTACATTGCCTCTACTTTGAAGGAACAAAGTTGTCCTGGTTTTTTTTCTCTTTTATTATTTCATTTTAAGTATCCTAAAACTTATATACATTGCCTATGTTTGGCATTCCATAACATAATAATTATAAGAGTCCGCCAATGTCAGAAATATATGTGTGAGTTTCCATTTTTGTTGGCAATGTACTTTATAAGCTTTTTAATATAGTACAATTTTAAACTAAAATGTAGAAAGAATATTATGTTTATATACAACTGCAGAAATTATTAACTGTTGTAATTTAAGCTGAAAATGCAACTATTTTAGTATCGGTATAGAAGAAAAGTATAGTTTCTAATCAGCTGTAATTTTAAAATGCAAAGCCTATAAAATGTTCAAGATGTTTGCCTATTTGTTTTTAATATTTATAATAATTTTCTGCAAGTGGCTATTGTTAAGCCAGGTAACTTCTTTATTTGAACTGTATTATACTCTCAGACCCTTATCCTGCCTAGAAATGAGTAAGTAATAAATAATTACTCTGTATTTATTTACTTCTTTTATTTTATAATAAAATATTCATTTGGATGGACATTAATTTGAAGTCATTTTGATAACTTTTTTGGGGGTAGGGAGACAGGGTCTCTCTCTCTTGCACAGACTAGAGGGCAGTGATCTGGTCATAGCCCACTGCAACCTTGAACTCCTGAGCTGAAGCAATCCTCCCACCTCAGACTCCCAAAGTACTGGGATTATAGGTGTAAAGTACCATGCCTAGTCAAAAAAAATTTGCTTTATGTGAGCAGAAAAGTTTCCAACCATCCAGTTAAACAGATAACTTGTTTACATTGAGGAGGAGAAGCATGCGATAACTCTGGTGTGTGTGTATGTGTATACATGGATGTGTAAAGAGAGTGTGTGTACATGCGTTTGTAAAATAACATGGGTCTTCAAAGCAACAGGTCCAAGTTTAGGAAGAACAGGTCATGTTGACTTGGTGGTATATGCCCAGAACTAATCTGTTGATGTCAATAAACTTAGTACCTTTTTTTCCTTGGGCCAGAGAAGATGTCATCAGACTGTAAATCTGAATTGCTTTCTCTTTCTCTTATTGATATTTAAGAGTATGAAAGAAAAAGAAGGTCTTTGTGTCCAAAAGTATTGTGATAAAGCTTAGTCGTAAATTTCAAATGCCGATATTTCTCAGCTGTAATGTTTTAACAAAATCTCTATCAGCCAACCTACTGCTCCCAGTAATCAGCAATATCTCTTGTATATTGCTTGCATAAAATAGTTCCACATGCAAACAAAAAATTTAAAATACACAATCTCTTTAGAGATTTCACATCTTATTGTATCTCTTTTAGAAAAAAGAAAAAAGATTGCATTTTATATATAGATATGTGCATGATAATTAAATTTGACTTTCCCCAAATGCCTTGAGATAAGAGATGACAAAATGAAGTGTGACAAAATTAGAGTTCAGAGTCATGTGCCTTAGAAAGTTATGTGACATTTTGGGCTTCATTCACCTTATCTATATGAATTGTAATACTGCTTTTGTAAGTTTAAGGATTAAATCGTATAACATGTAAAAAGTGACTAGCATAGTGTTTGGTTCAGAATAGGTGCTTAATAAATAAATGTTCTCATTCTTTTTTATTATTATACTTTAAGTCTGCGGTACATGTGCAGAACGTGCAGGTTTGCTACATAATTATACATATGCCATGATGGTTTGCTGAACCCATCAACCCATCATCTACATTGGGTATTTCTCCTAATGCTATCCCTCCCCTAGTCCCCCACCCTGAGGCAGGCCTCTAGTGTGTGATGTTCCCCTCCCTGTATCCATGTGTTCTCATTGTTTAGCTCCCACTTAGGAGTGAACACATGCCATGTTTGGTTTTCTGTTCTGTGTTAGTTTGCTGAGAATGATAGTTTCCAGCTTCATGCATGTCCCTGCAAAGGACACGAACTCATACTTTTTTATGGCTGCATAATATTTCATGGTGTATATGTGCCACATTTTATTTATCCAGTCTATCTTTGATGGGCATTTGGGTTGGTTCCAAATCTTTGCTATTGTGAATAGTGCTGCAGTAAACATATGTGTGCATGTGTCTTTATAGTAGAATGATATATAGTCCTTTGGGTATATACACAGTAATGGGATTGCTGGGTCAAGTGGTATTTCTGGTTCTAGATCCTTGAGGATCACCACATTGTCTTTTACGGTGCTTTGTTCTCATTCTTTTTCCTTCTAAAATGAATACTGTCTAAATTGAAGTAATAGTGTGGCATGTTTCTTACAACATGTCATTTGTAAAGATGTTTCTTTCATTTATTCCCTATGAGAAAAGCAGAAATGCTATCATTATTTTTATAACTAGTGACTGTACACATGGCAAGCTTTATTTTATGTAAGTTGAAGCCACAACTTTCCTATTAAAGAAAAAAGATACTCCTCCTAACCTGCCTCTTTCTGTATGGCTTAAACCTAAGTGGGTCATCATGAAGGCATTCAGGCCTTTCACAGTATCTTTTCAGTTTCATCTGCCTCTCTTTCCTCCTCTTCCAACCAAACTGTCTACCTGCTGTTCCTCAGATATACTCCCTCATCTTATCCTATCAAAATCCAACTTATTTTTCAAAGCCAGTATCTTGTACATCAGCAGTTCTCAAAGTGAGTTCCACTCTCAGGGGTCTTTCAGGTGGTCCACAAGATCAGATCTATTTTCATAACACTAAGATGTCAGTTTCCCTTTTCACTGCATTGACATATGTGCAGATGGCGGAAATGGTAGATAGCACTGCTGGCACCTTACTTAGCACCATTCAAAGCAGTGATGCTGTGCACCTGCCATCAAAAAAGACAGTTTCCCGTAAGAATGTTCTTGAGAAAGGCAGTAAAAATTATTATCTTAGCCTTCAATAACATGTCTTTTTAATATTCTGTGTGACTAAATGGGAATTACAACTAAAGCACTTGAGCAATTATCTGAGTTGTGAGCTGAATGAACTGTTTTTCGTGGAACCCTTTTTTGCCTAAAAGAACAGCTGATAGACA